CAAAAATATTAAAAATAAAAAATAACTCTTTTACATATATAATATACAATAAAATCGTAATTAAATATACTATTTAAATATCTATGTAACAAAATAGTTTTGTTTCTATGTATGTATGTTTGTGTATCAAATCATGTCAAACACTTTTATTTTGGATGTGATTAATCTTTGACCACCACTAATAAAAAAAATAAAATAATAATAATAATAATATGATAAATAAACCAAAAAATAAAAAGTATATATATATATATAATAAACAATATAAGACAGTTTGGTAGACTTTAATGGCAACGGAGACTTCCTTAAAAACCACGAGCTCCTTAAAAACCCACATTTATCAATATGTCAATGTTATTGAGCAATCAAACAATGACAAACAAGTTACTGAATGTCTCATGACATTTCTAGAGCATGCCAGGTAGATCTACAAGTGTTTTGCAGACTTTAGACACATAAAGAAAAAATATATAGGTATATAGTGCTCAGCATATACAAGTACACCCTTCACAAAAATCTCTCTTTTAAATGCATATTTTTAATAGGAAGCTATACGGTTATATTTGTGTGTGTATATATATTAGATTAGTCAGTACTGAAACCAAATCAGGAGCTAATCTAACAAAATAATTTACAATAATAGTCCAAAAATTCATGTTATAGAAAAATAATAAATACAATTTTTTTTTAAAGAAGAACAAACAAACAAAACAAATCAAGAGAAGCAAAAAAAAAAAAAAAAAAGAAGAAATTTAGTTGAAATTTTTCAGGTTGTAATTTTTTTTTTTTTTGCAATATTTTGCTTGATTTTATTTGTATTATCTTTCGATTTCTAAATAGGTTTACTGACTAAATTTTTATTTTAATAAATATATCTGTTTAATAAATCTGTTTTGTTTAAATGCACCAAAACACACTGCCTATATTGACTGAGAAATGGAGAAAAATATTCATTTTCAAAATGGGGTGTACTCAATTATGCTGAGCACAAACGAGAAAGTTACTTCAAAGTACTTACCATTGTGTGAATGTTGGCCAACAAAAATAATGTGCTTCAAATTTACAGATGAAAAGCCATGAACGACTTTCTTGTGCTGTAACAAAGCATTAAAATACATTAATAAAATGCAGAACATCCATACAGGGGTGCATTAACAAATGAAGTTTACTAATGAGGTCAGGTTTCAGAAATTCAGTTTAATTGTTTATTATTACCTTTATGATGTATGACCCATATAAGCTAACCATAAAATAGTGAAATGTCTTTATAGAAGTAATAGAAGGATAAATGTAATGTATACATGTCTATCTTTTAATTACTTATAGCAGTGGTTCTCAAACTTTTTGCATCAAGTATCACCTCAGAAAAAAAATTGTCTTTTCAAGTACCACCATAATGACCAGATTTGAAATACAGTAGTGTAGTAGGCCCAGTAAAGCAGCTACAGCTCAGTACAGTTCGAAAATGAGGCAGATTAATTCCTATTATTAAAAATAGTATTGTCAGCCACATTAAACACTATAAATTGTTTGAACTTTAACCCTGTACGGTGCTTCTATGTAAAATAAATAAATAAATAAAATTAAAATGTCAACATTTAAATTAAAATGTGCTTTTTAAAAGGTAAAAATTATAGGTTACTGTTTTTAAAAAGTAAAAAAAATGTAAACTTGTACTTAAATGTAAAGTATCAACACCAGGAAATATAGGCTACGTCATCATATTCATATATAAATCAATAGAGGTAAAGTTGGTTTTATATTCGGATATTCAGACATTCTCCTTAATAATATAATTTCTGAAAAGTGTTCTTTGCAAATTCTAAATAGGAAAATCATGTTAGCAGCAAATGACCATCAGAGTACAGCATTGTTCACAGTGAATTAGATAGTGCTAATGTTGTTTTGAAGTCATACTTGCATGCCAATTCCAAGCGAATATTCAAAGTAACATGGTAAACAAAGAGACTGCTAAATGAACGAATGTGTGAATATAAAACCAACTTTACCTCTATTATAAATCATTTTTATACATTTTAAATATATGTAGCATGTACATATGACATATTACATTCCTCCGCGTACCACTAGAAGTAAGCCTGTGTACCACAAACTAGTTTGAGAACCACTGACTTATGGCATCATTGTATTAATTACTGTGACTACCCCAAAAATACCACTGACAAATACGAAATATTTGGAAAAAAAAATTTTTTAGCTAAAAACTTATTTAACTTTTGCATTTATCATTTCCAACATAACTTAATTTAAGTTTAACATTTAAACAAACCACATAAACAATACAAAAAATAAGACAGAAATAATTTTAAAGTAAATTAAAGTAAAACAAATAACAATTTAATAAAGTGAATAAAAACACAATAATTAAACTTAATTTCTGCCAAACTTAATTTCTGTTACCCAAGATATTTTATAAACTCGACATTAAAATAAAACAAAGAACAATATTAATAAAATAAATAAAAACAAAATAATTAAACTTTAAAAAAAATAACCAGCTGCATATTTAAAAATGTCTTTGAATTTAGTTTATAAATTGCTAATGTTTACTAGTTTTAAGATAATCTCACCTCAGATCACATTAAACAAGCACTGTTTGAATAAATACAACAACTTTATTATAATAATTTTCTGCTATCGGTTAACGTTACCCAAAATATTTTATTTATTTTAATTCATAGAAACTCCCAAACGAACACCTACCAGTGGCTTCAGTTGTAGCAAAGCTTCAGTTTATGTTAATTTAGCAGTATATTGAGTTTTAATCCTGTTTTTGAGAAGCTTTAAGTATATTTCCGTTCATGGCTGATGATAATCGCATCAATCGAAACTGCAGCTGAAATGTAACGTTGTTGTTCGTTATTGTTTCCGACGGAAGCGCGTGAGTTCGACCGGAATAAACCCTCAAAATAGAATAGCGTTACTGAAAAAACTAAATTGTATTAGGGTTAAACACAAGACACTTTGTTACCTTACCGTATTTTAACGAAGTCTGTAAAGAAATCCGTGTAAAACGGTGTGCTGTAAAGTGAATGTCCGTTTTCTGCTGAGTTTATTTGTCTGTCAGGTTATCACGTGACTCTGAGCAAGTCATATGACAAACAGAAAGCTCATGCAGGCTACAATAATAAATAAAAACAGTTATACCTGTTATATTGTGCAAACTATAATTGAATTGTAAAGTAAAAATTATAGAAATAAAAATTATGATTTTGATGATAATAATAATAATAATACATCGTAAACAAATTAAAACTGAACAAAATATTATTTATAATGACTGTTTGACCTAAAGATTTGGAATGAAAAAATATTAAATAATAAAAAAACAATAATTATATAAACCGTATTTATAATAGCAATTTTAAATTAATAATAGTAATTATAATTAGTAATGGTAATTATAAACAAACAGACAACCTTCATGAAACGGCGCAGTAGGTAATGCTGTTGCTTCGCAGCAAGAAGGTCGCTGGCTCGGTCAGATGGCGTTTCTGTGTGGAGTTTGCATGTTCTCCCTGCGTTCGCGTGGGTTTCCTCCGGGTGCTCCGGTTGCCCCCAAAGTCCAAAGACATGCGGTACAAATTGCCCATAGTGTGAGTGTGAATGAGTGTGTATAGATTTTTCCCAGGGTTTGGTTGCAACTGGAAGGGCATCCGTTGTGTAAAACATATGCTGGATAAGTTGGCGTTTCATTCCACTGTGGCAACCCCTGATTAATAAAGGGACTAAGCCGGAGGACAATGAATAAATGAATAATAATAGAACATCAAACAAGTAATAACTTGTGTAATATTTGTAAAATGTAACAAAACTTTTAATTAATTAAAAGTTGTAAATATAAAAAGTAAACAATCACAATAATAATAATAATTAAAAACAAATTAAAACTGAACAAAATAATATCTATAATGGCTGCTTAATTATTTGAAATGCAAAATTAATAAATATTTAAAACAACAACAACAGTAAAAATAATTATTATATAGGCCTAGATAATATAAACAAATAAGCAACCTTTATGACATCCTAAAACCGTACTAACAGAGTAATAAAAAAGCAGTATTAATAGAATATTACACAAATAACAACTTGTAACAACTTAAAATGTAAAATGTGACAATATTTTTAATTTGTTTTAAGTCGTAAATATAATATAATAATAATATAACACAATATAAATATAATATTGATAACAATGATGATAATAATAATAACAATTATAATAATCTTAAACAAATTTAAATTGTACAAAATAATATTTATAATGTCTATTTTATTTTCAACTATTTGAAATGCAAATTTACTAAATATAAATAAATAATAAACATATTATTAATAGTGATTATAAACAAAATATCCATAGGACATCCAAAAATAAAAACGCATTAGAACAACATTTATATATTTATGACAAATATTAATATAAAATTATAAATAAATTAACTGGGTGAAAAAAAAAACTATAAGAAATACTAATAAAACATTAAATAAATAACAACTTATGTAATATTTGCAATGTGACAATATTTTAAATTAATTATATTGTAAATAACTAATAATGTAACAATAATAAATATGACTGAAATTAAAAGTACCTGAATAAATTATATTAACACAAATAAGACAAAATAAAATACAAATAATAAAATCAACAGGGTTTCAGCACTCGAAACCCTAATAAATGATCATTTTATCCAATTAATATGACTTAACGAATTGAATAAGCTAAACTGGCCGTGGTGTATGAGTGCGAATCAGTGTGTATGGGTTGCAGCTGGAAGGGCCTCCGCTGTGTAAAACATATGTTGGATAATTTGGCGGTTCATTCCACCGTGGCGACCCCTGATTAATAAAAGGACTAAGCCGGAGGAAAATCAATGAATGAATATAACATAACGGTAAATCAGAAAGGTATCCACTGCTTGTACAGACCACTGGAGGTCTGTCATCTCATACAGCAGGTGTCAGTAATGGGCTGTTTACGCCTGCGCACAGCCGCCAGAAGAAAGACAGAAGTTGTTGTGTTGTTGTTGCCCTCACGAAGGTTTTCATGCCTAAACATGTCGTGTTCAGCTTTGAGCTGTAAAAATCGACCGTCACCAGGGACTGGCATAAGTTTTCATCGGTCGGTTAGTCATAATACATTTAATAACGCAGTCAAAACTGTATATGCGTGTTTAGATCAATCGCGTGATGTTCATATGTTTAAATAACAAGAATGTATTGTCTCGTAATACATCTTGTTCGTAATGTGCTATCTATTTTTCTAACAACACGTTGTAACGTTAATGTATTAAATGGCGGATTCATTGGGTTAACTAGATAACCGTTCACCTATTTTTCCTGTGAAATACAAAACTATTTAATGTATTTTATTTCAAGTTTATTTATATAGCGCTTTTTACAATAATCATTGATTCAAAAAGCTGCACATTATTGCATAACAGTCGAATTAAGTCAAAGTTACAAATAGATATATTATAAACAGTTATTATATAATCTATTTTTCTGTCAAATACAAAAATATTTATTGTCAATCGTTTGTATTTCATTAATTCTCCTTTACAATTCAAGTATTTGCAAAGTGCTTTTCTTTACAATAATTATTGTTTCAAAAAGGTGCACATTATTGCATTATATTGAAATACAAGTTTATATATATATATATATATATATATATATATATATATATATATATATATATATATATATATATATATATATATAAACAGAGTTAACCTGGAGTTTTAGCAAATAGATGATGTATGACATCAGACATATGTATGTGTACTTTTATTGAAGTGTATTACTTTTCTTGTATATTAATGTCTCGAATTGCAGGTTAAAACTAGATAATTGTTCATCAATTGTTCTGTCAAATACAAAACTATTCATTGTAAATCATTTGTATTTAATTAATTCTACTTTTAAATTCAAGTTCATTTGCAAAGTGCTTTTCTTTAGAATAATTATTGTTTCAAAAAGGTGCACATTATTGCATTACAATCAAATTAAGGCAAAGTTACAATCACATATAAGTTATTATCAGTGTGCAAATTATACACTGACAATCGGAGGGAGAGAGTCCGCTTTTTCGGTATTGTTAGTTTGTGTAATACATGCTTCAGTGAATTGAATGCATGCATTTATTTAAATTACATCTAATTTATTAAGAAAACGTATTTAAGTTTTCATTGTTTTATGGGATAGGCTAGCGCTGGGGTGTCCAAACTCGGTCCTGGAGGGCCAGTGTCCTGCATATTATAGTTCCAACTTCAATTAAACACACCTGAACCAGCTAATCAAGCTCTTTCTAGGTGTACTAGAAACTTCCAGGGAGGTGTGTTGAAGGAAGCTGGAGCTAAACTATGCAGGATACCGGCCCTCCATGACTAGGCTAGTGTATTGTAACCTGATTAGCTATTCGGCTTACTTTAGGTCAAACTATGCATTTAATTTGACTTTACTTGTAGGCTACGTGTAGAAACAAACACCTATTTTATGAAGCGTCAGTCTTGTGAACTCTTACAGTGTCTATCGATGCTTTAAATCTGCCGGTTTCAGACTGTTGAATGACTTTTTTCCATGCATAGACTGATTGGCATGATTATGCATTCACAATGGTATGAACCGTTATAGGGGTGGTCAAAAGGATGTATATTATTTTAATTATTAACATTATTATTTAAAATACAGTTCAGAGTTAAACTTTTTCTCAGATTCAAAGGGACCCCCTTACATCTTGTTTTGAGATCCTTTAAGGGGGGGATCAAGCCTTAATTAGGGGGTCAGACCCCCCCAAACCCCCCTCTAATTCACACCTTGGTTATTATAAAAATATTTAATCCAGCGTTTTATAACATATAAGAGATGTCTATGTGTGTACGTTTAATGAAGTGTATTACTTTTCTTATAGATTTAAAAACAATAACAAATATCTCTAAGTGCTTCCTTTCCCCTCAGCTTCCCATTAGACGATAAGGACCGGCTGCAGAAATGGCTGCTGAATCTCAGACGGGACAATTTCCAGCCGTCTCCATCTGCGCGCATATGTTCGCAACACTTCGAAGACAGCTGCTTCTTCACGAACAATCACGGGAAACTGTGCCTTTCCAAAAGCGCCGTCCCTACCTTATTTTACTACCCCATTTCTTTTCGCTCATGGCGTAAATACTGGTCAAAGCGCATGGTTGTTAGTGAGGAGGAGAAATCCGGTGATGGTTCTAGGGGCACTTTACATGCTGTAGAGACTACAGATGACCACCATAAACCAGAAGCCACAGCAGCTTGTTTCGGGACCCCACAAACCCTGCTTAAAACTGAGCCCAGGAGCAGGTTTGTGGAGGTGGATGTTATCTTGAATGAGTCTATAAAAGAAGAAGAAGATGATGATATTGGATTAGATATGCCGGACACTAATGTGAGCCCAGTGATTTACCCCAGCGAGGTTTGTGTGGTCGCAGTTCGACAGGATCACTGCTATTATTCCAGTTCTTCAAACACAGATGGGACAAACGCAGCAGGGAATCAGGAGAGCGAATCGGCGGAGATGCTTCGGCACAAACTGCATGTGGTTTTGAGCAAGATTAAAGTCTTCAGGAAAACCATGAAGATCAAGAACCAAATGATCAGACGCCTGAAGAGCAGAGTGCTGTCGCTGAAGGCCAACGTGAAGACTGAAAGATTGCAGAGAGAGAAAATGCAAGTTACACTGAGCAAGTTGTACGTATACGCAATACATACCGTATATACAGTGGGGGAAATAAGTATTGAACACGTTTTTTCCTGGGAATACTATTTTTAAATAAGATATCGACATGGAATTAAACCAGATTTTGGTAAAAAATAAATAAATAAAACAAAACAAAAAAAATGTGTAATAGGAATGAAATGACAAGGAGAAAGTGCTGAACTACTGAAATGTATTTAATACTTGATATAAAGGGCTTTTTACATTTACATTTAGTCATTTAGCAGATGCTTTTATCCAAAGCGACTTACAAATGAGGACAAGGAAGCAATTTACACAACTATAAGACTATAAGAACTATAAGAGCAACAGTGAATAAGTGCTATAGGCAAGTTTCATGGCTGTAAAGTCTAAGAAGGAGAGTATTAGTAAATTTTTATTTTTTTGGTGGAAAGCTGTGGAAATATACATTTCTATCATCCATTTCAAAATGAACAATAATCTACGTATAACTGAAAAGTTATGTTCTTTGGTTTTTAATTATATAATTTCATTAACATCCCAGCTAGGAGGGACATTTAACCTTTGTCTTTCTGACTACAGGCTAAGCCAAAGTGATGCAAATACTCTGTCTTTGTCTTTGGGTGTTGCTTTTATGCTACAGAAAGCCTTTGTTGATAAACTTGTGTGGTCAGTACCTATATCATGCTGACTCCAATACTGAATTTGCATGCTTTGTTTTAGCCATCTCCCCTCCTCCTAATAACACAATATAGGCATGAAATCTTTGTCTTAATTCAGACTTGTGAGAGACTTGATAGAACTTGCAGACTGCGGACCTCTAGTAGGCTCTTGCCGACACATGGACATTCTAAAGACGCTGTATGACTGCAGATAAACCAACACGTCTCAATAAAGGAATTCTGCTTGTTTCGAGTCTCCTGGACTGGTTCTCTCTCTTCTTTTTCATCAATTTTTTTTAAAACACAGCTTAAAGACGCCTCTCATATAGAGAATGAAGTCACATGAATTGCTGAGGTTTGAGTTTTCCACAGAATTCAACAGATTGTAAAAATCTTGATGGTTCTGTGTGTCTCTTGAATCAAATCTGAGCTTTAATTTGTGTTTTCAATTGGATTCGCTTCAGTTGGTTGGCTAGGCCATTCTACAACTTGACTTTTTCTTTAAAAGCATTTGTTTCCTTGGCTGTGTTTTGTATCATTGTCTTGCTGAAATGTCCACCCTGTTTCATCTTCATCCTGCTGATAATGTTGGACTGAAGCAGCTGATATTCATTTACACTGAGGAAGGGCAGAGGGTTGCTGAAGAACTATTAAGAGATTTCTGCTACTGTCTGGGCTTTCACTGCCTTTATACACCTCCCTTTCTTCATGTGTTCAATATTTTTCCCTGTGTCATTTCATTTTATTACACATAACTTAATTTGTAAACTATTTAGATTTGTTTTCTTTGGTTGTTACCAACATCCAGGGAAAATGTAAAATCAACAGCACCTTTAGAAAAATGGTGACGAGTTCAATACTTATTTTCCCCGCTGTATAATTTTCTGACTTTTCTTATATGTATTGAGTTCAAGGCAAAACTGTTAGTCCTGCTGTGAAATTTTAGTTCTTTTAAAGATATTTCTTAGTAGTTTTCTTTTAAACATAATAGTTTTCATAACTAATGTATCTGTTAAAGTGCAATTTAACAGCTTAACTAGGTTAAATAGGCAAGTTATTGGACAATGGTGGTTTGTTCTGTAGCCAATCGAAAAATAATCATTTGAAATGCAAATATTACTACATATTTAAATAAAACAATAATAATAGAAATAGCAGTAATCATAAACAAACAAACCATAAGACATCCAAAAAGTAAAAGTAAAACATTCTACTCTAATATGAATATATCGGTCACAAATATTTTTTGTTTTAAGATTTTAAACAGTAGTTTTATTGGTCACACTTTATTTTGATGCTCCGTTTGTTGAATTTGCCAAATAATTCTCATTTGATTATAAGTTGACTGTTAGGTTGGGGTTAGGGTTAGTGTAAGTTGACAGGTACTTGCATAGTTTCTTATAGTCAGTTAAATGTCTGTTGAAATAGCAGTGTCAGCAGATATTAAGCAGACAATCTACTAATACTCAAATGGACCATAAAAAAATAACTAAGTTACTTTCCATTATGATAGAGTATAATATTTTACTGGCCATTTTGCTAAATAGTTTTCAGCTTAAAGTGGCATTTAAAGGCTTCACCAGGTTAATTAGGTCATTTGATAACAATTTGGTGGTTTGTTCTGTAGCCAATCTGAAAAAAAAAAAATCTTAATATTGACCTTAAAATAAACTATATTTTATTACTATTATTAAAATTAAAACTCACCGAACTGTGTGCAAGTTTCACACACAAAATAATATGGGTTATATTTTTTCAAAGGACTTTGTTCTGTTGAACACAAAATTTGGGCACAAAAAGTTATAATGTGTTGCCGCTTTAACAAAGAATAATTTTGCTTATTTATACAATGAAGACTAGGGTGTTATTTTTCATTTAACTATTGAATTTCTGTTTCTCAATGCTGTTATTCTCCACCAAAGCACTGTTTTACTGTGTGCAGATGCACTCCAGTAAAACAAATCATCCTTTTTAATGTCAAATGATCAATTCTTGTGAAATTATATTCATATCGCAATATATATATATATATATATATATATATATATATATATATATATATATATATATATATATATATATATATATATATATATATATATGTATGTAATATATATTAGGTGTATGGCCATACACAATAAATGTGCTATATAAATGCACATTATATTACAAAGTCTATTTTTTTAAATGATCATACTAAAACAGGAAAAATACTTTTCTTGATCTAATAATATATAATTTAGGCAAAAAAATTAAATAATATAAAGTCAAGGTGCACACATTTAGACTGAAACATTACAAATGACTCTGACTTATTTTATCTCTCTGGCATCTCTGTGATATGCAATATTTAATTTGATTTCAGTTTATATATATATTTAGTTCCAATAAAGTGTTTTTCATGTCTGAGTGCAAACTATTTTGTAAATTAATAATGTTTAAATGCAAATTCAGTTTACAAAAGTGATTTTCTTTACATTGAATACATAAAAACAAACATTAATATTGAAAGTTAATGTCACCCCTTGTGTCTTCACAGGCAGAAGGACCTAGATTGTCGACTCCAGCCTAAACCAAAGAGTCCAGACCTGTGAACAAAACACTAACAAAACTAATTTATACTGGACTCTATAAAGCTGAAAAGTCTCCGATGAGGAGATTCTGCTTTTCCATTTGGTGGCTCTTGCTGAGGAAAATACATTTACATCCTGTAAGCACTTCAAATGGTTGGGAAAAGATTTTAGGTTCTTCATTGTTTGGTGAAAGGAAACATGCTGTAGTTTTGTTGACTCAATGGTGCGCAGTATGCTCTACATCCACTTTTATATTGTACAGTTAGTTGTTTTCATAATAAATATTTGACGTCTTGATTTTTTCATCATTTATAATCAGTTAAACAAACTGTTGTGTTTCTTTTGTTTTGAAAGAGTTAAGATGGTTTTGCTAGCAACATGCATTACAAATGCACAAGTTTATATTAAAATAATAGTATCTCAAGAAACACTGTGTTTTATAGAAGTCTAACAAATGTGAAAATAGACATCTTGGCTAAACAAATGATCAAATAAACAAGGATAAAGTACTGTTTGATGATTATTTTTAGAAATCTGCTAGATTTCCACTAAAAGCCCAAATTAAGCTTTGTTTAGCCAAACGTCTATGTTTGGATGTCTATTAAATAAGACACAATGGTGAGATAAAAAAATGTTTTACTTTGAAATGTGCTTTTAAAAGTTCACAATTTCAGGCTTCCAACATTGGTAAATTAATAATGATAATAATTAATCGAGAAAAATAAAAATTTACTGAACAAAATAGTATTTATATTGAATATTTGAAATGGAAATATGACAACATATTTAAATAAAACAATAATAATAGAAATAGTAATTATTATAAACAAAAACAAACAATAGGACAATAAAAAATGAAATAAACAATAAAATGATACCCTAATGTGAATAGATCACTACTGTAAATAAAGGTGCTGCATTAAATTATTTTAGTTGAATCAAATGAACTTTTCTAGTCATCTTAACTCGCATAAATCAAACTGACTAAACAGGTTATGTTAAACTTTGTACAATTTGCAATGCAAATAAAACCTGATTAACTTGTTCAATTAAGTTAAAGTAACATGAAAACATTTGCTGTCATGACTTTTGATTATATTGTCGTTTAAAGTGCATTTCACAAACATCAGAAAATTATAAATAACAGAGTAACAAAAAGCCATAAAAATACTAATAGAATATTAAATGTAAAATAACATTTTTAATATTTGTAAAATGTGACAATATTTTTTATTACTTTATTCTAGGTTGTACAATTAATAAAAATAATAACAATTATGTTCAAATAATAATACGAGTCGGCGTCAGTGGTGTAGTGGTTAAGTGCGTCGACACACACTCTGGTGCTCACAGCAACCCGAGTTTGATTTCCGCCTACAGGTCGTATGCCGATCCTTCCCCTCTCTCTGCTCCCCGTGCTTTCCTGTCAATACTTAAGGTGAAAACCCCAAAAATAAAATAATCATAATACTAATGTTACAATTACGTTATAATTGTAACAATATTAAAAATTGGCTTTTTTTCAGGCTTACAACACTATGTAAATCAACTGGTAAAAGGCATAAAGAAGGTTTTTAGTTAATAAATAGGGGCCGTATAATCGCCCCAAAGGTCAGCAACTTTAGTAAATAAAATACAGTAGGTGGTCATTTCCAAATTCAACCTATTCTACACAAACAATACTTTCATTAAAATACGTGGAAAACTCCTTTATTAAAAGAGATTATTTCTGCAGAGCATGAGGTAATTCTGCTGTGAAGAAAAGAAAACACAAAACAAAGTCTCTGTTTTACCTTCAAATCAAACAGAGTAAAACCGACAGCAGAAGACAGAAGATTTACAGGTTTTGTAAAGAACTTTCCTCTGTTTCTGCTTCACTGTTTTTGTTCTGTATTTGGTTTGTTGTTGTCAGATGAGCATGTTTGGATCTTTTCCCCCTGAAAACAGTGGTCTCCTCTCCATTCTCTCCTTCTTCTTGCTCCAGTCGTCCTCTCTTCACAAAGTGCTGAATCCTGGACTCCAGACTCTCACAGCGTGGCCGACTCAAAAGAGGTTGGTATTTTTTTTGCCGGGACCCTTCCATGAGCCAGCACTGCAGAGACCCCATCTCTAAAAACACAAAAATAATAGTTTGATTCTAGTGGATTTTTCCAATTGACTCCCCTTTCATTATGTTAGTGGCTGTTTTTACCCCATTGACTTCCATTATAATGACATTTTTAGACTGCAAAGCCATAACAGCATATCTTCATGAATTTTTGATTGTTGGTGCTTTTCCCTGTTGGGAAGATGTAAAATGTGTCATTTTTACAGTTGATCATCGGTCGGCAGCATTAACCCTTTAGGTAGGACTCTTTTAGATTCTGTTGTCAATCCCAGTTCCAACAAATAATAACTTGCTCACTAAGAAAAGTAGAAGATTTTTTGATTTTTCTATTGGATCATCTGTTGAACTGCATCCCATATATCACAAATGTTGCGGAGGACCTATTGAAGACTGCATGGACCCAAGATTCTCATAGAAATCAATAAAGTTTGGTGAAGGAAACATCATGGTTTGGGGTTACATTCAGTATGGGGGTGTGCGAGAGATGTGCAGAGTGGATGGCAACATCAACAGCCTGAGGTAGAGACATTTGTGCTGCCCATTACATTACAGACCACAGGAGAGGGCAAATTCTTCAGCAGGATAGCGCTGCTCCTCATACTTCAGCCTCCACATCAAAGCTCCTGAAAGTAAAGAAGGTCAAGCTGCTCAAGGATTGGCCAGCCCAATTACCAGACATAAACATTATTGAGCATGTCTGGGTAAGATGGAGGAGGCATTGAAGATGAATCCAAAGAGTCTTGATGAACTCTGGGAGTCCTGCAGGAACGCTTTCTTTGCCATTCCAGATGACTTTATTAATCAGTGATTTGAGTCAGTGCAGAGATGTATGGATGCAGTCCTCCAAGCTCATGATGGAGTCAGACACAATATTCATTCTTTCTCCACTGCAGCATGACTTTATATTCTATGCTGGACATTTTTAAGTGACAAGACTTTTGTCTTGCCTTACTGTCCTAATTAAATCACTAAAAATCAAGGCATGATCATATTTTATTGTGGTAAAATAAGTGTAATCTAGAGGCCTTTGCCTTTCATATGAGCCACTTCTGATACCAAATGATCAACTAGAAGTCAAGCCAAACTTGGATAGGCAAAAAGACTTTTGTCAGGTAATGTAGGAAAAACAAATACGATGGAAGTCAATGGTTAAAGGTTTTAAGCTTTCTTCAAAATATCTTTATTTGTGTTCAACAGAAGAAAGGAACTTAAACAAGTGAAGATCGAGTAAATGATGGCAGAATTAAAATTTTGGGGTGAACTGTCCCTTTAGAGCATGAACAGCAGCCAGTGTGTGTTGGGAGTTCATTGGTTTTTTAAGCTCTGAAACACACACCTGTGCTTGTGTTTTGAAGGCCCTGGATCATCCCGAGCAGAATTTGGGTTTTCACTGCATTCTGGACCCAGTGTTGGTGAAACGTGTTCAGGATGTGGATTTCCTCCTCGGTTTCATTCCTCCAGTTCACACCCTCAAAGTGGCAATCGTACAAGACCAGAGGATAGTCCACCGCCATGCTGTAAAACACATGCGCTCATGAATACTACATTTCCTAAAGCCTTGTCAGATCTCACTGACTGTTTTTAGATGAGACCTACTGGATGGTTGGATAAATCGATATATCAACTATTAGGTAGGGGTTAATATTTTAGAAATCATGGGATGTGTTGGGAAAAAAAATGCATTGAGTGTGTTAACTAGCGACATTAGGAGAAATGCAATAAAAACATTTTTTCTTGGTGGGAGAGTTAAAGGGTTAAAAAATTTCAACTAAAAAGTCTTCAGAATTCACTTTTGAATCAAAAATAACCCCCACCTGTACTGAGGTTTCCTTGGGTTTTTCTCCACATCCAGCAGTTGATCAATGACTTCAGGAGCTTCCAGTTTCTGTCCGATAAGCAGCAGCAATGCCATCATGCAGCGGACCTGGAAAAGCAGTGGTGGGATGCAAACACTAATCATTTCATCTTGTACAGGGAGTCATAGTGGAAGACAAATAACACTGCGTATAATTTTATTCTATTCTACCATGACGCGTCATGTCACATGTAATGTTGCCCTATAGGTAAGCCCACACGGAATCTGCTCACACAGAATTCCGCAGATTTCTAGCCCATCAGTGATTTTTTTTTATTTACTAGTGTAAATGTGTGTACATTTATATTTATTTAGTTTTTAATTTAATTTCAGTAAAATTATTGACTAATATGAAAATATTTATATAAAACAAAGGAGATGCCTTTCTATGAACACATCTGATGTATTTTCATAATATGTGTGACCTTAATCACAACATAACATTTGTGTATTGTAATTTCTGTATCCTGTTTGTGTTTATTTACTTAATATTTTTTATTTATTTAATTATTGATTTTTTTTCTCTCTGACTTTTGCTGCTATACTTGTCTACTGATACCCTTGCCTTTGTCCTTTATTGTTTATGTTTGTATGTTCATTAAAATCAATAAACAATATATATATATATATATATATATATATATATGATTTATTTACAATACAGTTTGTGATGTAAAATATTTAGTCCATTAGTAGACATAATATATGAGAGACTTGCTTTGTTTACCAAATAAAGTGGATCTAGTTGGATTTGCATTGTAAACATTAAATAAGTTAAAAAAGTATTACTTTATTTCAAATTAAGGTTTTAGTTATGATTCTCCCAAAATCATTCTGCATAAATCCGCAGTTTTTTTTTAACAAACTTCTACGCAGAAATAACAAAAAATGTCCGCAGATTCCTCCTGGCCCTACCTTTAGGACCATGGAAAGCTTTTGTCATTGTTTATGTTATCTGCAGTGCTTTGGCAATACTTGACAAGTCATACTAATAAAGCTCTTTTGAATTGAATTAAATTGAGTGAGAGAGATTTTAGGTTTAATGTCTCGTCTTTCACCTGCAGCAAACTAATGACTGGAGGGGTGTGGCTAAGCATATCTAGCTCAGGTCGTCAAGCTGACATCATCAGTGAAAGTTATGTAATTTCAGAGCAGAAGCATATGACCAGATTTTTATTTGAGTGGATCGACTTGCCCAAATGTAATTTTTCAGTTTAAGACAAAAAAAATAAGCACTAGAAAACTAAACATTGTGAATTTCAAACAAGGTCAAAATACTGCAGCCTTTACCAAGTATTCATCTAATGTTTGTTTACACATGTTTCGGTAAATCAGTCGCTAGTTTCGCCTGGAAACTTCAATGTGCTTTAATTGATCAGACTGTAACATGCAGGTATTTTTTTCACTGACATGAGAACAGTCACTATTTCAGCAGTCAATAATATTATGCTATATGAACCCAGTATTGGCTTATTTATTATAAAGGGTCCTTTGTCCTATTTTATAGCCTTTTTTATTTTAATTCATTAATTTTCCTTCAGCAAAACGGACTGCTTACAATTAATTTTGTTTAACCAATTCACCTATAGTGCATGCCTTTGACTGTGGGGAAAACTTGAGCACCCGGAGGAAACACACGCAAACATGGGGAGAATATGCAAACTCCACACAGAAATGCCAACTGGCCCAGCTGGGACTCGAACCAGCAACCTTCGTGCTGTGAGGTGTCAGTGCTATCCACTGAGCCACCGTGCCGACCACATTTTTTATCATATATAATTTTTATATTTGCTTAGCTTGCAAAGATGCATTGGTATATACATTTGCCGGCCACTTAATTAGGTAAACCTTTCCAACTGCTCAACGCAAATTTCTAATCATGTCAGTGATCATGTCAATATGGACCAAAATCTCTGAGGAATATTTCCAGTACCTTGATGAATCTATGCCACAAAGGATTAAGGCCGTTCTGAAGGCAAAAGGGAGGCAAACTAGGTACTAGTAGTACCTAATAAAGTGGCCAGTGAGTGTACATTGGTATATGCATTATAAGCATCGGTAGTAAAGGCCTTCAGTGTGTGATGGTTCCATTACCTGGTGATAGAGGAAAGCAAGACCTTTGACCTGGAAGACAAAGAGCTGGTGCGGGTCATTGTGGACGCTGGGGTGTGGGAGTTGTGCTGGCTGGACACTGGCAGACAAGATGGTCCTCTGAAACTGCAGGACTCCATTACCGACATCCATCTTACAGAGGTTCCTGAAGTCATGCGTTCCCTCATACCTGCAGCAGCAGAAAAAGAGAGATCTCCGAGCTCAGGGTTCTCTCCCAGGACAGCATGGCAAACCTGCTAGCAGTTGTCAAACAAAATCCAAATGTGAACTCTTGAACTCTTGTTCACTCTTGTGTGAATTTGTTTTAGGGATAGTTAATCCTAAAATGAAAATGTACAGTTCATTTACTCTCCCTCAGGCCACTGAAGATGTAGATGACTTTTTTTTTTCTTCAGTAGAACATTAAAGAAGATTTTAGCTGATTCATGAATGCCATAGTCACCCAATTTTTGTTGGGGATTAAAAATAAACACATACAAACAAGTCTAAACAATTACTATGGCTCCTAATCATACACTGATGTCTTATGAACTGAAACATTCAATATGTGCAAGAAACGAAACATTATTCACTATATTATTAGCATTAATCCACAGCTGAGAACTGTGCCAAGAAGTGTGGATTATTAATATTAATAATAAAGTTCAGTCTGCAACACAGACTGATTGTTTTGCTTCAAAGGGGTCATTCACATATCACGTCTAAAATCATAAGCATGAAGCGCGTCGCTTCCTTCACCAGTTTGAACATGATTAGCACTCAGGCACTCTTGGCGTCCGTCACTGCTAAGCAACTATCAACCGTTCTCTTAGAGGATGACAAAACCATTGATGTAACTCTGATACAAGTTTTATTTATGGAGGAAATTAAGCACCACAGCAGTGTTTTGTCTGAGGTCATTACTGAAATGTTTATATTCTATACAAAATATAAAGCTGATTGGGTATTTCTAGTCACATGACCCGTGGCGCTCTTGCAGCATCCTGAAAAGTTGAGATGTTTTCGACTAGGTGAGCCTGGAAAATGTGAGCACGGTGTGTGCGGATTGCTCCTTAATTTTGTATGTTTGTTCCATTAAAAAAAAACAATGACGCGATATGTGAACGACCCCTAAGACCTTAATGTGCTGTCAGGAGCCATGGATATTCAATTTGTTTTCCTTGTATATGTTTTTTGACTCCCAAAGTGCTGTTAGCCATTGACTTGCATTTTAAGAATTACCAAAGACCACGATTTTTGATCTACTGAAGTAAAAAGGCCACTTACATCTAGGGTTGTCTCAATACTGGAATTCGATACTGATATTTTAAAAATGTCCTTTTCACGCTAATTTTTGAGCACGTTCTTAAACAGAGCCAATTAACCATTGTGTTCGCATGCTCAAGAGAAATGACTGTGGTTGGCCGTGAAGGTCATCAGTTCAGTTCATTTCAGTTTCTCATCAAATCTTGACCAATCGAATGCTCTCTAGTATCTGACAGGCTCCGCCCCCTTAATGCTTCTCGTTGGATTTTCATTTTTTAATCCACTTGAGCTCAACCACTCACTGGCAGAGCTGTGATAAAAACAAAACCTATTGGCTGTTTTCTTAGTGGGAGGGGCAATTATATGTCCCGATCTTTCACTTGAAATAACATCAAAGATGGAATAAAAATGCCCTTTTGTTGTTCTCCACTGACCGTTTTGCAGCCTCTGCCATGAGCTCCAAATCCAGATCTCCTCGGGGAAAGTAGTATCTGTATGTCCGGGACTGGCAGTCAAATCGTGCGCTGAATCCGCTCTCTACAGGGGCCCATTGCAGGATTCGGATGTCCTGAGGCAGGACTCGGTTGAGGATCTTCACATAAGGTAGCTCATCTGCCGAAGTCTTGCCTTTGACATCAACATCAGCTGGAACAGTCACACCTAAACCGCCTCCATACTGGGTGGAGCGCAGGTCGATTGATATAACCTGAAGGACAGAGAAAAAAATTAATAAATCAATAAATCAATAAATCAATCAATCACAATTTAGACTATATCTAAGGCTTGTCTATTATACCTAGTGCTGGAAATTTATATTATATTATTTATAATTTATTATATATTATATTATTTATTATATATTATTATAATTTATATTTAATATATATATATATATATATATATATATATATATATATATATATATATATATATATATATATATATATATATATATATATATATATTATGTAAGTTGTACATGTATATGTTTTTATCCGGATGCAGTTATTTTCTGATGTTATGTTGTTTTTTTTATTGAATGAGGGGTTAGGGAACATTATTAACAATAAACAATATATTACTGTTTCACTCTCTCAATATTTAATCTGTCTTGACATAGAAAAGACCAACAAAAGATTCAATTAAAATTCACAATATGATCGCAAAATAATTTAAAAATGGCCCTAAATATTTGTTATTCAACAATGGAAGAAATTAAGTATTTGCTTTTGTATTACAACCTGGAGGAAAAGTTAATATAAGGAATTCATGATAAATATATAAATACATTAACGATAACATAAATTCCTACACAAAACAGCAACAACAATACTCATAATAAAAAAATATTATTAATCTGGCATTTGTTAATGTTTTTTTACAAATAACAAAGTTTAATGTTCTGTTTCTTTTTGTTATAATCTAATTATTAATTATTATTGTGTCAAATAAATAAATAAATAAAAACCGGTTCTAAATGTAACATATCAGAAAATTTATTTGTATTCATTTATTAATTTTAACAAAATATTGACAAAATTAACAATACAAATAACTAAATTAAAAAGTTATATATATATATATATATATATATATATATATATATATATATATATATATATATATATATATATATATATATGTGTATGTGTGTGTTGTGGAAATATAAATTTATATAATCTAATTTCAAATTAACAATAATCTACGTATAACTAAAAAGTTATATTCTCTGGTTTTTAACTACAACAGTGTGTATGTGTGTGTGTGTGTGTGTGTGTGTGTGTGTGTTTTGTGATTACTTCACTATTTGCAATTCATGTTTTGGTTTAAACGATTACAATCTAATTATTATTATGAATTAAAGGATTAAATAATTTTTCTAAATATCATCTGTATAAAGTTGAATGAAAAATAATTATGAATGACTATTTATGAATTTACATATTATAAAAAAACAACTACTCCGATCACAAAAGGCTATAAAAATATTAATAATAAATTTTATTATTTATTAATTTTTTCTGATTTTGATTGTAGTGTAATAATGTGCACTTTTCCTTTTGTAAAGTTGCTTTGAAATGATAAGCATTGTGTAAAGCACTATACAAATAAACTTGAATTTCATTTAATTAAAAAAATTAAGTTAAACATTTAGTTGTTACAGTTTAATGACTATCATTGTGTCAAAATTAAATAAACATTTGTTGTTAGACACTAAACAATTCTATCAGCTGAATGAAATATCACGTGCCAGTCTTTATTCTTCATAACTGTATATTAACTCTCTGAATAACTATAAAAACACATGATTCATAATTTGTTAAATGCAGATGGCAGCACCTGAGAGAAAGCGCTGACTCCTTTATCAGTGCGTCCGCAGCGGTGATAGCAGGACGTCTGTCTGTCCTGGATCAGTTTGGTCTTCAGCAGAGCCTCGAACAGCCGCGCTTCAACAGTATTATCAGTGTTTTCCTGCACAGCGAAGCCCTGGTACTGCCAGCCCAGATATGCCAGACGCAGAGCCACGTGTCTGCGCGGGTGAGCGGAGAAGTCGAAGGGTTTTTCCACTCTTTGTTTCTTCTGTCTGGACCCGCTCTCAGGCGTTTGAGATTTCTCCTCCGTCTCTGCTCTCAGCTGAGCTTTCAGTCTCTCCAGCTCCTCCTCCAGAGCCTTCACTCGAACCCGCAGCACTTCTGATGACATCCCAGCAAACTCCTAATAAACACAGAGATAGTTCACTCAGAAAAATCTAAAATTCCCTCATTGTTTACTCTCCTTCCTGTGGTTTTAAAGATTTTAGAGTTTTTTTTTTCTTCTGTTGAAAGAAGATATTTTGAAGAATGCTCAGTCTCTCTAGAGCATGGATGTCAAACTCAATTTCTGGAGGGCCGAAGCCCTGCACAGTTTAGTTCCAATCCTGCTCCAACACACTTACCTGTAGGTTTCAAACAAGCCTGAAAGACTTTAGTTTGATCAGGTGTGTTTAATTAGGGTTGGAACCAAACTGTGCAGAGCTGTGGCCCTCCAGGAATTGAGTTTGACATCCCTGCTCTAGAGCCTTTACTCGAACTTGCAGCACTGCTGATAACATTGCAGTTAACTCGCTTCTCATGAACACAGGCATCTTTTACTTAAAGAATCTAAATCGCCTCCTTATTTACTCTATTTCCTTTGGTTTCAAATATTAAAGAGTTTCCTCTGTTGAACACGAGAGAAGATATTTTGAAGAATGCTCCTCCTCCAGAGCCTTCACTTGAACCTGCAGCACTTCTGATGACTTCATAGCAGACTCGTTTCTGATAAACACAGGGCTCGTTCACTCAAAATAAGCATAATGGCCTCATTATTTACTCTCCTTCTTGTAGTTTCATTTCTTTGAGTTTCTTCTGTTGAACACAAAAGGAGATATTTTGAAGAATGCTCAGTCTCACCAGAGCCTTTACTCGAACCCGCAGCACTTCTGATAACATTAAAGTAAACTCGCTTCTGATAAACACTGGCATAGTTCACTCAAAAAAATCAAAATGGCCTCATTATTCACTCTCCTTCCTTTGGTTTTAAATATTTAAGAGTTTCTTTCTTCTACTGAACACAAAAGGAGATATTTTAAAGAATACTCAACTCTCCAGAGCCTTCACTCGAAGCCCCGCAGCACATCTGATAACATTACAGTAAACTCGCTTCTGGCAAATACAGGGATAGTTCACTTAAAGAATCTAAATCGCCTCATTATTCACTCTCCTTCCTGTGGTTTTAAATATTTTACGTTTCTTCTGTTGAACACAAAAGAAGATATTTTGAAAAATGCTCCTCCTCCAGAACCTTCACTTGAACCAAAGAGCTTAGAATGACCAAGAGGCGACACTCAATAGAACGTTCCATTGCAACAGCAGCGCCCAGCAACAGCCCCGGATTCCGCCATTTTGGAGTGAAAGTGATCGGCCGTCTATAGGATCTTTACTGTTGCAATGGTAAGCAGCTGCTTTGTTTTTTTATTTTTATATATTTAAAAAGCGCATTAAAGCCGAGATACAACCTGAAAGACGACAAAACAACAATTGTTATTATAATCATCAGCACTTTTAATAGTTCATTTTACAGACTTCTAATATGCTGTTGTTCAATTGGAGTTTTCCTTCCATAATGGCCGCCTCGCCATCTAGTGGCTGTTTCCCAAATTACACTAGAGTGTCGCCTCTTGGACATTCTAAGCTCTTTTGTTCTGGACCTGCAGCAAAGACTATAGAATACACAAGACACGACACTCATATACTTTTAAATGGGAAAAGTGTAACTGTCAATATGGCGAATGAAGCTTTGCCTTCTAGTACAGGAGCCAATCAGCATTGATATAGAATGACAATTCTCCGGGGGGTAGAGTTTCTGCAGATTTTGTGTGATACGAACATTTAGAAATGAAACTAAACAGACAGTTGTTTGATTTTATTGGTTATTTGTATTATGTAATGTAATCATAATCTTGGCAAGTAGTTTTGGAGGATTTGATGTTTCCCCATTCAAACATCATTCCCAATGCCTGAGGCATTTCAAAGATGGCCACCCAGTGAAATGACTTGCCATAAAGGGACTTCCCAAGCAGCACTTCTGATGACATCACTGTAAACTCCTGAAAAGACGCAGAGATAGTTCACTCACAAACTCCTAAATGGCCTCATCATTGATTTTCTTTCCTGTGGTTTTTAAGATTTAGGAGTTTCTTTCTTCTGTTGAACACAAAAGGAGATATTTTGAAAAATGCTCCTCCTTCAGAGCCTTAACTCAAACCCGCAGCACTTCTGATAACATCGCAGCAGACTCGTTTCTGACAAACACAGGGATAGTTCACTCGATAAAACTAAAATCACCTCATTATTTCCTTTCCTTCCTGTGGTTTTAAATATTTTAAGTTTCGTCTGCTGAACACAAAAATAAGATACTTTGAAGAATGCTGGTTGCTGGGAACCATTTTCCGCTTTACTAGAAAATATTATTTTAGAAAGTTATTTGTTACTTTGAAAACTAAACAGTGAAGACACATTATTGAAGATAATTAAAGATCAATTAAGATTAGGTGACAATAAAGATTAGGTGAAGTGGAATAATTAAACTACAATAATTGATAAACGTGGTGGGTCAGTTGGCATTCCTGTGTGGAGTTTGCATGTTCCCCCATGTTGGCATGGGTTTCCTCCAAGTGCTCCGTATTCCACAGTCCAAAGACATGCGCTATAGGGGAATTGAAAAAACTAAACTGGCCAGTGTGTGTGTGTGTGTGTGTGTGTGTGTGTGTGTGTGTGTGTGTGTGTGTGTGTGTGTGTGTGCGTGTGTGTGTGTGAGTGTGAATGAGTTTGTATGGGTGTTTCCCAGTGATGGGTTGCAGCTGGAAGGGCAATAGAGGTAAAGTTGGTTTTATACTTGCACATTCATTCATTTAGCAGTTTCTAAATTGTTTACATTGTTACTTTGAATATTCGATCTGAATTAGCATGCAAGTATGACTTCTAAACAACATCAACACTCTTTATTTCACTGTGAACAATGCTGTACTTTGATAGTCCTTAGCTGCTATTAATATGGATTTTCCTATTTAGAATTTGCAAAGAATACTTTGCTGAAATTACATTATTTAGGAGAATATCTGAACATCCCAATATAAAACCAACTTTACCTATATGTGGCGACCCCTGATGAATAAAGGCACTAACCAGGGGTGTCCAAAGTCGGTCCTGGAGGGCTGTGGTCCGGCTGAATTTAGCTCCAACACACCTGCCTGGAAGTTTCTAGTATACCTAGTACAGCTTGATTAGCTTGTTCAGGTGTGTTTGATTAGGGTTGGAGCTAAACTCTCCAGGACCGAGTTTGGACACCCGTGAACTAAGCCAAAGGGAAATAAATGAATGATTAATAAATGTATTCTTTCTCTCCTTTATTTTCTTCCTGTTTTTTTTGAATGAAGTATTATTCATGGTGTTAATATTACCTTTGAAATATATAAATATAATATAAATAAATAAATAAATAAATAAATAAATAAATAAATAACATATTTTTGCTATATCAACTAAGGACCGAGTACATGCACCGTATATGAAGGCTATCATAATTCTTCTTAACAGTAAACAGAGTTTTGTTCAATAATTCAGTGTATAATGGCATCATTCAATGTAAAGTTGTGCGGAATAGATGCCTATGTGAACTGGCTATTAATCTCCACGTGTTTGCTTTTTATTAAACTTTGAAGGTGTGTAATCATTTCTTGAAATATACTGTCTATAAAACTACAAACATATTTATTTAAGATAATACTCACGTCCGTTCAGAAGCTTCACGAAAAGAGCTAAAGCACAAATCCTGAACAGTAACTTTTAAACGCCGCACACCATGGTACACTGGCTTCAGGCTTCCGTAAAGCCACACGTCAGAATAAAAGTCCCGTTTAAAAGTGACACACGTTCGCTAAATAAATCAGTGATGTGACTGATTTACTCAAATGAAAACAGGATAGCTTTGTAAAATAATAATAAAATGAATGTACATAATTTATTTAATAAAAATATTAATAAAATAAAAGTGCTACTACTACAACTAATAATAATAATAATAATAATAATAATAATAATAATAATAATAATGTAATATGAATAATAATAGTTATTATTAATTATTATAATAATTATTAAAAAATAATTGTTATAATAAACAATTATTTTATTATGAAAAATATCATCATCTATTAATATTTAAAAAATAGTAATAATAAATATAAAGTAGGTTATTATTAATAATAATAAAAATAAAACGAATCATATTTATAATAATAATAATAATAATAAAACAATCATATTTATATTATTATCATTATTATTATTTTTATTATTATTATTATTATTATTATTATTATAAATATGATTAGTTATAATTATTATTATTATTATCATTATTATTATAAATATAATTCGTTATTATTATTATTATTATTATAAATAATATAATCTCCATTATTATTCAAATAATTAGTAATAATAAACATAAAGTAGTTTAAATAAATAAAAGTCTGGATTCTGTCTCTTTTCTGTAGTTGCTATTACAAAGTATCAAAGAAGGAAAAACATCAATAATTATTATTATTATTTATTTAGAATGAACCATATGCTAGCAATGTAAGTAAATGACTATGTAATGTATAAATGTAGGTTGTTGGATTAGCCTGAAAGAATATTTCAGAATTGCCTTTTCAATTATAATTGTTTGACAAATTTAAACAGCAATGTAATAAGAATAAGAATAAGAACTATGATAAAATAATAATTCAATTGTAAAAACAAAGCATAACATTCTAAATATAATAATAATAACAATTAATATTATTATTGTTATTATTATTATTATTATTATTATTATTATTATTATTATTATTATTATTATTATTATTATCATTATTATTATTATTATTATTATATTGAAAATGTTATGCTTTACTTTTACAATTGAATTATTATTTTTATCATTATTACTTTATAGTCTATTTAAGAAATACAACCTCTTTGTTTTATAATTAGTAATGACTTATTTTCGATAATGTGCACTGATGTGAATTTCTTTTTCTTTTTTCTAGAGTTGCTGCTGCTTTATATAATAACACAAGCGTGCATTACACAACCCACTTGATCTGGAAAGATAATAACCAACAATAAGACTCTTTTAAATGTGACATTTTCTCTTTCCTCATAATTGTCCTTCCTGATAAACACTACTCATTTGAACTCACTCCTAACCTTTATCGTACATGTATTATAATAGAAATCATGTGATAAACACAACCAAGATTCCCCGAGTTTTCTTGCAATCTGCAACCCTATTGGCTAAAGCTTCTCAGAGGCCCTTCAGACTGTCTCGTGATTGGTCGTCTGCTCCTCCATTGACATTCATTGCTTCCTGCTCACGCGACGCAAATCAATAGTGGAAAAGTTTAAAGTTTATTGTTCACCGACATCTGGAACGCCGATGCAGCTGACGTCACAGAGCTCAAAATGATACATTGTATCCGCTGCGCTCTGATCGCGCTTCTGTTTATGACACTGCTGCATTCGGTCTGCGGCGACTTCCAGACTCTCGCGCATCTCCGAGCCAAAGCGAGCGATAAAAGTCAGTCGCGAGCCGTGCTGGATCTGCTCCGGAGGCTGCTGGGGAACCGGGCGCGGGAGTTCATCGTGTCGGTTAACAGGACTTTGTCTGCGGACGGGCTGGACGTGTGCGAGCTGCGCTCGGCGAAGAACAACAAGGTCGTGGCGGTGGGCAGCACGGGGGTCGCGGTGGCCACCGGAATATACAACTATCTGAAGTACTTCTGCAACTGCCATGTGTCCTGGGCTGGAGATCAGCTCAATCTGCCCAGACCTCTGCCTGCGCTCACCGGCGTCCTGCGCATCAGCACACCGCACAGGTAAAGCAGCAGGAGCGCACCTGCAGCCAATAACACGCCGCTTTTGATTGATTGACGTTGCATGCATGATTATTAGAGTCAGTAAAGGCTAAATCTACATTTTAATATTTCATAGATTGTAGTTTACTAATACTAAAACCATAATACTAAAATTATTTGTGTTTGTTATAGTAATAATAATAATATTGATCATAATAATAATTATGATATACATTATCACAATATATATATATATATATATATATATATATATATATATATATATATATATATATATATATATATATATATATATATATATATTTATTTATTTATTTTTTTTTAAATAAGTAAATATAATAACCAGGGTTGGGGGTAACGCAATACAAGTAACATGAATTACGTAATAGTATTACTTTTCTGAGTAACGAGTAAAGTAACGCATTACTTAAAAAAAAGTTATATTATTTGAGTTACTATTTTGTAAATGTGATGTGAGTTACTTTTTAGTTTATTTAATTTGCTTTTAAAAAATAAATTGCTGAATTAAAATTAACATTGAATCCCGCGCCCAATGAGAGAATTTTCTTCCCGGAGAAATAAACCAAGATCTTTACATTTCTGCGCTGGAAATATTTTCATTATTCTTATTGCATGGAAAAATAGTAAGAGGGGATTGTCTCAATGCTCATTTTACTTCATGAATAAGACAACAAGTATGAAAGCATGAAACACATTGCTTTAAACTTTCATTAATCTGTATATGCGGCATGTCTGGGCTCAGGAAAATCTCAGAAGATAACATTATCATTCATTCATTCATTTTCTTTTCGGCTTAGTCTTTTATTAATCTGGGGTCGCCACAGCGGAATGAACCGCCAACGTATCCATAATATGCTTTACGCAGCGGATGCCCTTCCAGCTGCAACCTATCACTGGAAAACATCCATACACACTCATTCACACTCATGCACTACGGACAATTTAGCTCACCCAGTTCACCTAGACCTCATGTCTTTGGGCTGGGAAACTGGAGCACTCGGAGGAAACCCACGCCAAAACGGGGAGAACATGCAAACTCCACACAGAAATGCCAACTGACCCAGCCAAGGTGCGAACCAGCGACCTTCTTGATAAGGCGATTGTGCTAATCACCACACCACCGTGACACCCAAGATAACGTTATCATAAATTATTATTATTTGATGTGTTTTTAAAGGTAACTAAAAGTTATACAGTGTGTTGTTCATTGCAAAACTCCTCTATGTAAAAAATAAGAAAAAAAGGTAAGAAAAAGTAACGTCACACATTATTTACCATAAAAAGTAACTAGGTAATGCAGCTAGTTACTTCTTTGGAGAGTAACTCAATATTGTAATGCATTACTTTCAAAAGTAACTTTCCGCAACACTGATAATAACTACTAACGTTGTGTGAAATTAACACATATAATTCAGACTAAAACTCAAAGTCCAGGATTTTGCAGGGACATTTTTAATAGTTTTTAATATGATATAAATTTAGTTAGTTATTAAATTAACTTTATTTAATCCTGTAGGGAGATTTGTGGCCTAAAATTATTTGTGTTGCTTCTATTCTTGTGGTTTGGGGTGAGAGTACACAAACATTTTATGATTTTTTTTTTTCAATCCTAGTGGGACTGAATTATACCAAAGACTACAGAATACACAAGACTTGTAACTCGTATACTTTTGAATGGGGAAAAGTTTGACAGTCAGTATGGCGAATAAAGCCCCGCCTTTTGTTCAAGAGCCAATTAGCGATTGCTATATAGCAAATAAAGCCCGCCTTCTAGTACAGGAGCCAATCAGCGATCGCTATAGATTGACAATTCTCCGGGGGAGTGGCTTGGACCAGACATGAGTTTCTGCAGATTTTGTGTGAAACGAACATTTAGAAATAAAACTAAATCGACAGTTGTTGTTTCATTTTATTGGTTATTCATAATATGGATCTTAATCGTAAGTTTGGCAAAGAGTTTTGGAGAATTTGATGTTTCCCCATTTAAACAGAATGCCCGGGCATGCTAGTTTGCGACTTTGATTATACTAAAATAGCCATTTATTCCTTCTTAGTCAATAAACTGCTTTACGCTTTGCTTTCACTTTTATTTTTGCTATCATTTCGTCTTTATTGATATGACAATAAATAAAGAATGTGACATCAGAGTGAAATTTAATGACATCACAGTGGAACTAAACGATGTGAGTTATTTTATGAAGAAACGCTGATTTCTGTCAGATAAATATCATTTGTTTCGTTAAGGCATGTCTCTAGAACGTTTAAATTAAGGTGTTTTTAATTTTGACATTATCATCCCTTATTTTCACATAATTCTTAAGTCTGTCGTAGACCAATATCTTTTGATACTCATTTAATGCACAGCTGGAGAATACACTTATAATTGACATATTTATCACTTTATTCTCATGGTACTTTTCATAGGCATGCATTTTAATTATTAAATCTTTAAAAGATAAATAACTTTCAATTCAATATTAAGAGAATGGGGTGGCTCAGTGGTTAGCACTGTTGCCTCACAGCAAAAAGGTCGCTGATTCGAGTCCCAGCTGGACCAGTTAGCATTTCTGTGTGGAGTTTACATGTTCTCCTCATGTTGGCGTTGGTTTCCTCTAGGTGTTCCGTTTTCTCCCACAGTCCAAACACATGTGCCATAGGGGGATTGGGTAAACAAAATTGGCTGTAGTGTATGAGTATGTGTGAATGTGAGAGTGTATGGGTGTTTCCCAGTACTGGGTTGCAGCTGGAAGGGCATTCACTGCGTAAAAAATATGCTGGAATAGTAGGTGGGTTATTCCAGTGTGGTGATCCCTGATAAATTAGAGACTAAGCTGAAGGAAAATGAATTATTAAGAGAATGTCTCAGAATTTCTATTTGATACTGTTTATCTCAGTGTTACTTGCCATTTATTGCTATTGTTTGTAAAATAAAGTGCAACCTGCATCCCTAGTAATCTTAGTGTGATTGAAATAAACTATTTAATGTGTTTTTATTTAGATTCACGAGCAAAATTGTAACCTACAAAGGTTTACCAAAGAAATCCTCCATGTCTTTTCTGTTTCACATATTTTTTATACATTTCTGCAAGCATCTCTACTTTCTGAACAGTTGTTTTATGTGTATTTCAGAGTTCTCGTCTAGATTCAGGACAGCCCCCACTGTGTTGTGTAAAAAAACGCAGCATTGTTGATACTTCTCTCCGCCATTGTTCATGCTAACTCTATGTAGTAGCCGAACCTTACTTTTGTTTCTTGTTTGTCTTGTTAGTTCCGCATGAGCGGCTCTTTACTGTGTCACTCTCAGAGACGGTGGCGAACACTGAATTCCTCTCAGTGTGAAAATTACATTAGTAATGCGGTCAAACACAAAACACTGAAGAA